GCGCGGATAGAAGAACATCAGCATAGCCGACATCCATGTCCAAAGCCCGCCAGCGCGGTGGAAGTAAATGAGCTGTCGGAGTGGAGGAGTCTTTCCGCATGTATAAAGAACTTCCGGAAATGGCTAGATATTCCATTGACGGAATATGTCTTATAATATCGAATACGGTCCTAGGTTCGACGAGCAGGAAACCCCAGTGGGTGTGATTGAAATGGAATGTGAAAGTGAGGGAGCGTTACTGGCCCATAATGGGAGATGGGTCTCGAGAGACTGATAGACGTCGCCAATGTCTCCTCCAAGGCCGAGATCAAAGATACGGACTTCAATACTCCTGAGATTGGGACAGTAGTGTATTTTTTCAAGTAGTGCATCGTCCAAGGATCTATCCATGAAGCGCAATATCAAGTGCCGGATGAAGGAGAGGATTGGGAATGAAGATGAGTCAATAATATCGATGAAGAGCGGAAGATTGTCTGTATCCAGGGGAGAAGAGGTGGAATCTACTGCGAGATAACCATCTTTTGCAGACGAGGCCCAAGAGGGGGCAGGTTTCCACGGAAGCCGTGCCTGGCATACCCTCCTCATAACAATAGTCGATAACGTTGTCGACCAGCTCCTGTGCGAAGTCTCGCATCTGGGTAGCCGCAGATCGTGAGTTTGAAGAGCAAGATCTAGAGAGGTCGTGTTTCATCAATGACGCGAGACGGCCTGATTGCCGAGATGCCGCACGTTTTTCTACAAGACTAGTTTGTCAATCCGTGATAAGAAAAACACAATCAACCTGTTCTAGCATTCAACATTTTGCCCGCGTGAGTGGCTTCGATACACTCACAGGAACTAAGATGGGCAGAGTTTCAAGAATAGAGCATGCGTACTTTTGGCAAAGGTCTGACTCTTATGGATTAAGCGCAATGGGCCCACACTTTTCCTGGTCACGTGAAGGCCGACCAAAGCTGAGGCTCATTGTTCGCTGTATTAAGACACTTGTGGCTTCGCGTTTCGGTGATTCCAGTGCGCCAGCAATGAGAAAGAAATATATTTTGTAATTAAAACGAAAAAACAATTGTTTTAACAATCGCGGTCACGAGCCTGAGCATTTGCCACCTACCATTACTCTGCACCTCGCCACCGCGATGCCCGCTGGTCAAACTTCCACTGCCGACGCCGATAAATTTTTCTGCAGCACTTGTTCACTTTGGAAGCTCGCCACAGACGAATTCTTCAATATTAAACTCGGCAAATGCCCCAAAACCTGTCGCGTCTGCAATCAGAGAAAGAAAGAAAATAAACCGAGGGACAGTACTGCGACCGGGCAGTCATACCCCACAGATGGCGGTGATGCCGATGAGGATTTGTCAGACCTTCCTCGAGTTACGCTGGAAGAATTTCTCGCGATTATTGCTATGGATGAGAACGCGAGATCATTTGCTGCTCTTGTCGACACCCAAATCCTTTATGGTTGAATGTATGGTCTCACAGACAACTCACGTCACCGGATATCCGCTGGTTTTCGTCGCGTCAAGCACGTGAGCGTGTAACAGGCCCCGTTGGCATCAATAAATCAACGCGCATCTCAATCACATCTTAAATATGTTTTGTATTCTGGTGCCCGGATACGTAAGGGGGAGCTCGCTAATACAGAGGTTTTTATCATACCTGGAGATTCCGAATATTTACAACTAATCCTCATTAAATAAATACACACTTAGTAAGTGCAGCCCTACGTGCAGTGCCATACTCCAGCATTTTCATTGATTCTGTAATGGGTTTTTGCAGCCGGGCCCACCCAAAGGGTGTCCGGAAAGCTATACCATGCACTCGAGAAATAGCAACAAAAGCAAGACCCAAGGAAAAATCCTTGCAGCCTATCAGTTGTTTTTGTCAAGAGTAATTCCTTGACTCTTGTGTAATGGCCCATGCAAGGGTAAGTGGTAATTAGAGGGGCATGGGAGCCATGTATTCCAACAGTTACAAAGAATGAGAAAAGTGAGGCTTAAAAAGCACAAAGCACACACAGTCCAAGATAAGCAGACTTAAAGCTCAGAAAGAGCAGATAGGGGCCAATTTGGTGCATCAAAGAGACTGAGTTTGGAGGAATAAAACATAAAATACAACTGAAAAGAGGAGAGTACCTGAAGCTTTACAGTGAGGATGGTGGGGGAAGCAAGGAGCAATGCGGGTTATGCATGCTTGCCTTGAGGATTTCGATTGAATGAACTGCTGTGGATTTCGGCCGAAACTGCCGCGCAGTGGCACCATCGTGGGAATCAACTCGTGACTTAACAAACCGCGGTTTTGCACGTGACACGCAAATCGGATCGCCCTAATAGAATCGGGGGAGCAAGCTCCCCCAATTATTTATTCAAGACAAGTACTTATTCACAAAATGGGAACTTGACAACACAGGCTTCAAAGCGCTAGTATCCCGATTCGGGAGACAATCGAGAGATAGTGGCCGTCGGCATCCTCGGCTGTTCACGTGACCAGGAATTGTGTCGGGTCATTTGCACGCAGTCTCTTATGGAACTTCGCTCATGCAATGGATTGACTTTTGCTTCCTCCTCACACTGGTCGAACTTCAACCTTTCTTTTACCATGTGGGCGGCAATGGAATAATGAAACCCGAGGGATATTTAGATCCTTGAACAATGGGCATGGATTGGGAAATTAGATATTTTATTAATTTCCAGGTCGTTTCACAAGCGCATACGTGAATTGGGGACAATGGGGACGTTGAGAGTGCGCAAGGAAGGAAAGATGTGGTGTAGATGGCACGTTGTGGCTATGATATTTTGAACCATGGGGCCTCTATTGTGGCCGCGTTCACGAGGAGTATAGTGGCAGTACTCGGCCCTCATACCAGGCGGCTCATTGGGAATCAAAGGACCTGAGACGCGGTAGGTGCTTTGCGACATGCCGGGGCGCCTCCGAGTCCACGGTTACAGCTGTTTGGAAAAGTAATGACCCCTCGCTAAAAAATAGTTGAAAGAAAGTGTTTTTGATCCGCCTCATTGACACGCTCGTTTCTCGTTCAGTTCTGAACGGATCTACTTGAAAGTAAGCGGCGCTTTCACACAGTATCCTACATGTTCGGTGAATTCAGAAATTGCCAGGTCCAAAGATTCCGGCTGTCTGATTTGAACCGAACGGATCAGGAGCCATTTCTGCATCAATAATGAGCCGATTTGAATGATTCAGACCTCTTCCGGAAGGGAATATCGAGGCAAAGCATTGAATTCTGAGACATTTTGGATTTGCTCCGAAACAACGTACCAGTAATGAATTTTCAGCCCCGATCAGTAATTCCATTCCTGCATGTGTGTATTAGGGTTGTTTCATTTTATGAGTGCATAGCTGTGGCCACCTTAGTTTCAGCTTTAAGAATCACTTGGATTCAAGCGAATCGGCTGAATATTGACCGAGAATCGGCTGCTGATATGTTCAGTTCAAATCGGGCCGCCAGGATTCGTGGACTTGGGAATTTTAGAATTCTTCGAACATGTAGGGTAGTATTCGAATGCACCGCTTAAGCGCTTTCGAACGCACCTATTTTCAAGAGTTTCGGTTGAGAATTGGCCGAGAAATCACATCGGTAAAGTACCGACTCAAAATGCTTTCTTTTAACTCTTTTTAACGAAGTGTCATTACTTTTGCAAACAGCTGTAAACCGTGAATGATTGAAGAAAACTGTCCATGGGATGCAGATGAACACCGGTCCTACCAAGCCTTTCCTCTGCATTGATCCTCCTTATATCCTTGTCAGGTCGGCAGAATTTTGTGAGAAAGAAATAGGAAGTAAACTGTCGAATGACTTGGACTGGAGTTGAACGAGTGATGTCTGCTGCAATTCCTTGAGGAATTCTAATGAACCACAGATGCGCACCAAGTGCTAAGGACTGCTTAGATGGCTATATATAGAACGCCCATTGAATGCAGATGCACACTGGTGCTACCAAGCCTTTCCCTTCCTTTCCCTTCTACGCAAGAAATTTGTTAGTTCCGTTGAATCTTTTAGGAGGAAAAAAGTGCGACAATTTTAGTCAAGGCTTGGGCTCGAGTCGAACGAGCGATGTCTGCTTGAATAGCAGCCTATTGGATACAGATGCACACCGAGTGCTACCAAGCCTTTCTCACTCTGTCCACACCCTCTTTAAATCCACTAGTTTAGCAGAATTTGCGCGAGAAAAAAAAACCTTTCCCTTCCTTTCCCTTCCTTTCCCTTCCACGCAAGAAATTCACCAGCTCCGCGGAATTTTCAGCAAAAAAAAAAAACATGGAGAGAGGCAATTGTAAGGCTCAGGCTCGAGTCGAACGAGCTATCTCTGCTTGAGTCTATATGCATAAGAACACCAGCATTGGGTGCAAATGCACACCAAGTGCTACCAAGCCTTCCTTATCTCTTTCTTCCCTCCCCATATCCTTGGCAGGTCAGCAGAATTTTCAGGGGAAAAAAGCTGTGAAAAAGAAATCCAAATGGCTTGGACTCGAGTCGAACGAGCAATATCTGCTTGAACCGATACAAGACAATATTCATATTGGATGCAGATGCACACCAAGTGCTACCAAGCCTTTATCAGTCTCTCTACCCTCAATAAATCTATTCAGCTCTGCCAAATCTTTGTGAGTAAAAAAAAGGTAGAAGAAGCACTGATATGGCTTGGGCTCGAGTCGAACGAACTCCTTCCGCATTATTGGGTGAGAGAGTGTGAATAGGATGCAGATGCACACCGGTGCTACCAAACCTTCCCAACTCTTTCGCTCCCTCCCATATCCTTGGCAGGTCAGCACAATTTTCAGAAAATAACCCGAGAAGAACTATGGCTTGGGCTCGAGTCGAACGAGCGATAGCCTGCATGAGCTTATACACAGAACAACACCCAGATTGGATGCAGATGCACACCGGTGCTACCAAGCCTTCCCAACTCTTTCACTCCCTCCCCATATCCTTGGCAGGTCAGCAGATCTTTTGTGAGAAAAAAAATAGAGAATGAACTGGGGAATGACTTGGGCCCGAGTCGAACGAGCTATCTCTGCTCAGTGCATATGTCAGATAAACATTGGAAGTAGATGCAGATGCACACCGAGTGCTACCAAGCCTTTCCTCCTCTGGCTCTCCCTCTTTAAATACACTGGGTTGGCAGAATTTGCGCGAGAAAAAAAGGTGGTGAACTGAAGAGGAATGGCTTGGGCTCGAGTCGAACGAGCGATGGTCTGCATGGACTTAAGTACCAGATTCTCCTAAATTGGATGCAGATGCACACCGAGTGCTACCAAGCCTTTCCCTTCCTTTCCCTTCCACGCAACAAATTCACCAGCTCCGCGGAATTTTCAGCAAAAAAAAAAAAAAATGGAGAGAGGCAATTGTATGGCTCAGGCTCGAATCGAACGAGCAAGGTCTGCTAGATGGCTATATAAAGAATTCCCGATTGGGAGCAGACGCACACCAAGTGCTACCAAGCCTTCCTCACTCCGTCCACACTCTCTCTAAATCGACCAGCTCTGCCGAATTTTTGAGAAAAAAAACAGGGTATCAAGTGGAACATGGCTTGGCCTCGAGTCGAACGAGCTATCTCTGCAAGAACTTATACACAGAACAACACCGAGATTGGATGCAGATGCACACCGGTGCCACCAGGCCTTTCCATCCTCCCACCCTCACTTCCATACAGGCTGAATCCTTCAGAATCTTTGCAGAAAAAAAAGACGGTGGACAGAAAATCCCATGGCTTGGACTCGAGTCGAACGAGCGATGTCTGCCTTGGATTGTTTATGACGAAACCGGGCATGAGATGCAGATGCACACTACCAAGCCTTCCCTCTTCCCACACTTCCTCAATAAATCCCCTGCTGAGTCGGAGGATTTTTTAGGCAGCAAAAAAGACAGTGTTATGGCTTGGACTTGAGTCGAACGAGCGATGGTCTGCATGGACTTGAGTACCAAATTATCCCCAAATTGGATGCAGATGCACACCAAGTGCTACCAAGCCTTCCTCACTCCGTCCACATCCTCTTCAAATCCGCAGAATTTGTGCAGAAAAAAAAAAATTGATGAAGGGGAAGGCGACGGATGACTTGGGCTCGCGTCGAACGAGCGATGGTCTGCATGGAGACTTAAGTACGAAATCGTCCCTAATTGGATGCAGATGCACACCGAGTGCTACCACGCCTTCATCTCCATCTCTCTCCCTCCCCATATCCTTGACAGATCAGTAGATTTTTCAGCGAAAAAAGGTGTGAAAAAGGACTACAAATGGCTTGGGCCCGAGGAACGAGCGATAGTCTGCATGAACTTATACACAGAAAACACGGAAATTGAGTGCAGATGCACACCGGTGCTACCAGACCTTCCCAACTCTTTCGCTCCCTCCCCATATCCTTGGCAGGTCAGCAGATCTTTTGAGATAAAAAATTGTAGATGGGAGAAGCGTCAGGGCTTGGACTCGAGTCGAACGAGCTCCTTCCACATTATTCAGTATCAGAAATGTGAATGAGATGCAGATGCACACCGAGTGCTACCAAACCTTTCCTCCTCTGGGTCTCCCTCTTTAAATATACTAGTTTGGCAGAAATTTGCCCAAGAAAAAACAGGGAGTCAAATCTAACATGGCTTGGGCTCGAGTCGAACGAAGCGATAGATAGTCTGCATGAACTTATACACAGAACAACACCGAGATTGGATGCAGATGTACACCGGTGCTACCAAGCCTTCCCAACTCTTTCGCTCCCTCCCCATATCCTTGGCAGGTCAGCAGAATTTTCAGATAAAAAATGCTCGAAACAAATCCTCATGGCTTGGACTCGAGTCGAACGAGCAATGTCTGCTTAAATACATTGGATGCCAACGATAAATTGGATGCAGATGCACACCGAGTGCTACCAAGCCGTTCCCTTCCTTTCCCTTCCACGCAAGAAATCCACCGGCTCCGCCAAATCTGTGTTAGAAAAAAAGTATAGACCAGAACTTCAATGGCTTGGGCTCGAGTCGAACGAGCGATGTCTGCTTGAACCGATTGAAGACAATACCCATATTGGATAC